TCATGTTACAGCTTTATAAGACTTTGGTTAGGGCACACATAGAGAATTGCATTCAGTTCTGGTCACCACATTACAGGAAGGGTGCGGAGGCTTTGAAGAGGGTGCAGAAGAGGTTTACCAGAAAGTTGCCTGGATTAGAGGGTTTGAGCTATAAGGAGAGGCTAGATAAGCCAGGGTTGCTTTCTCTGGAGCATCAGAGGCTGAGGGGAGACTTGATAGAAATCTATAAAATTATGAGATGCATAGTTAAGGTTGACAGAATTTTTCCCAGAATTGAAATGTCTAATACTATGGGGACATTCATTCAAGGTGAGAGAGGGAAAGTTCAAAGGGAATGTGAGGGGCAAGTTTTTTACACAGAGAGTGGTAGGAGTCTGGAACATGCTGCCAGGGGTGGAGTTTGAGGCAGATTCGATAGAGGCATTTAAGAGGCTTTTAGATAAGCACATGAATATGCAAGGAATGGAGGGAAAAGGACCGAGGACAGACAGAAGGGATTAGTTTAATTTAGCATCATGTTCCTGTGCTGTACAGTTCTACGTTCTGTGTTCATTGTGAAGGCGGCCCATAGGAAGCAGTGATCATAATATGATTGAATTACATTCAGTTTGATGAACAGAAGAGTGGGTTGAAGACTAGTGTTTTAAAGTTAAATGAAGGCAGTACAGAGAACATGAAAGCAGAGCTACCTGAAGAAAATTGGCAAACAACATCGACAGATAGATCATAGAATCCTTACAGTGTGGAAACAGGCCATTCGGCCCAACAAGTCCACACCAATGAAGAGCATCCCACCCAGACTCACACCCCCCTACCCTATCCCTGTAACCCTGCATTTGCATAGCTAACCCACCTCGCCTGCACACTACGGGCGATTTAGTATGGCCAATCCACCCAACCCGCACATCTTTGGACTGTGAGAGGAAACCGGAGCACCCGGAGGAAACCCACGCAGACACGGGGAGAATGTGCAAACTCCACACAGACAGTCGCCCGAGGGTGGAACTGAACCCAGGTCCCTGGCGCTGTGAGGCAGCAGCGCTAAGATATGTCAAAAGAGACACAGTGGCAGAAATTTAAGGGGATGTTTTAGAGTACACAGAATGGATATATTCCAACAAGAAAGAAAAGTTGCAAGGACAGGACCTATCTCCGAGAGTTAACTAAAGGTTTTGCAGATGATATCAAAAAAAGTGTTTAATTGTGCTGATTGGAGCTAGGTCAGAAAATTGGACAGTATATAATTAACAGCAAAGGTTTTCTAAAATAATGAGAAAGGAAAAATTAGAGTGTGAGAGAAAGTTAGCCAGGAATATAAAAATAGATATTAAAAGTTTCAATAGCTATTTTAAAAAGAGGAGTGTTCCAAAATGAATGTAGGACTTGTAGAAAGTGTGTCTGCGGAATTAATAATGGAAAATAAAGAAATGGCAGATAAATTGGACAAGCGTTTTGCTTTGGTCTTTATCATAGTGGATGCAGGTAAGATCCCAGAAATAGCTGTAAATCAGGAAATAGAAGGGAACAAGGAATTCAAATAAATTATTACCACCAAGGAAGTGAAAATGAGCAAGTTGTTGGAGATGTGACTGACAAGCTGTCGGGTTCTGAGGGACTTCCTGCTGGATCTTGAAAATAAAGAGATTGATGAAATAGTTACGAAATGTTTTTAATTTTCCAAAATTCACTGGATTTGGGAAGGTTCAGTCCTATTGAAACTCCATTATTCAGAAAGGAAGGGAGTCAGAAAGCAGAAAACTACAGGCCAGTCAGCTTAACATCTGTTACAGAGAAAATATTCAAAGCTATTATTAAGTTATTGCAGGGTACTTGCATGCATTCAAGGTAATTGACCAGTCAGTGTGGTTTTATCGTAAAGGAAATCGTGTTTAGGGGATATAGGGGGTAATATTGGCATGAATAGAAGATTAGTTCAGCTTTGTTTTATTCACTTGTGGGACGTGGGCATTTCTGGCTGGGCCAATATTTATTGCCCATCCCAAATTGCCCCTTGAGAAGGTGGTATTGAGCTGACTTCTTGAACCGCTGCAGTCCTCCTGCTGTGGGTTGACCCACAATGACCTTAGGGAGGGAATTCCAGGATTTTGACCCAGTGACAGTGAAGGAACGGCGATATATTTCCAAGTCAGGATGGTGAGTGGCTTGGAGGGGAACTTGCAGGGGGTGGTGTTCCCATGTACCTGCTGCCCTTGTCCTTCTAGATGGAAGTGGTCGCGGGTTTGGAAGGTGCTGCCTGAGGATCTTTGGTGAATTTCTGCAGTGCATCTTGTAGATAGTACACACTGCTGTCGGTGGTGGAGGGAGTGGGATGTTTATGGATGTGGTGCCAATCAAGCGGGCTGATTTGTCCTGGATGGTGTCAAGCTTCTTGAGTGTTGTTGGGGCTGCATCATCCAGGCAAGTGGGGAGCATTCCATCACACTCCTGACTTATGCCTTATAGATGTTGGACAGGCTTTGGGGAGTCAGGAGGTGAGTTACTTACTGCAGTATTCCTGGCTTCTGACCTGTTCTTGTAGTCACTGAGTTTATGTGGTGAGTCCAGTTGAGTTTCTGGATAGTGGTAACCCCCCCCCAGGATGTTGATAGTGGGGGGATTCAGCTCACAGAAGCAGTGAGTAGTAATAATTGGGTCACTTTCTGATAAGTGAAATTTAATGAGTGGAGATTGATTTTATTGTCACGTGTACTGAAATACAGTGAGAAGCTTTGTGTGCAAGTGGTACAGGGGGATCACAGCAAGCAAAGGCTGTACAGATCAAAAAGACTTAGAGGCATACAGGTTACATTGCACGTTACATTGTTTGAGGCTAGAGTCCATTCAACAGTCTGATAACGGCCGGAAAGAAGCTGTTCCTGAACCTGCTGGTGTGTGTGTTCAGGCTTCTGTATCTTCTGCCTGATGGAAGAGATTGTGGGAGATCATTACCGGGGTGTGAAGGGTCTTTGATGATGTTGGCTGCCTATCTGTGGCAGTGAGCTGTGTAAATAGAGTCCATGGATGGAAGGTTGGCTTCTGTGATGGCCTGGTCTGTGCGCACAACCTTCTGTAGTTTTTAGAGCAGTTGCCATACCAGGCCGTTATGCACCCGGACAGTATGCTTTCAATGATGCATCTGTGGAAGTTGGTGAGGACCTTATGGACATGGCAAATTTCCTGAGCTGTCTGAGGGTGAAGAGGTGTTGTTGTGCCTTCTTGACTGTTGCATCTATCTGGGAAATCCAGGACAGATAGTCAGTTATTGTCTCTCCAAGGAACTTGATGCTCTTCACTCTCTCGCCCTCAGTCCCATTGATGTAGATGGGGGCGTGTTTTCCTGTGGTGTGGCACAGGAATCACTGCTGGGACCTGAACTGTTTACCGTTTGTATAAATGGCTTCTTTGCAGGTGTGGTGGCTAAATTTGCCAATGACACAAAGATAGGTAGGAAATTAAGTTGTGAAGGGGACGTGAGGATGTTACACAAGTAAGTTGATAGACTAAGTGAATCTGCAAAGATCTCGCAAATGGGAAAAGTGAGATGGACCATTTTGGAAGGAAGAATAAAAAAGAATATTATCTAAATGTAGAAACGTTTCTGAGCTTTGAGGTGTAGATGGATCACGAAAGGCTAGTGTGCAGGTACAGGAAATAATTAGGAAAGCTAGTGGTGTGAATTGAATATACAAAACTCTCTGGTACAGTTATATAGAACATTGCCATGAAAGTATATAGTAAATGGCAGAACCCTTAAGAGTACTGATAGGCAGAGGGATCTAGATGTACAGGTACACAGGTCACTGAAAGTGGCAACGCAGATGGAGAAAGTAGTCAATAAGGCATATGGCATGCTTGCCTTCATTGGCCGGGGCATTGAGTTTAAAAATTGGCAGGTAATGTTGCAGCTTTATAGAACCTTAGTTAGGCCACATTTGGAATATTGTGTTCAATTCTACCAGAAGGATGTGGGTGGCTTTGGAGAGGGCACAGAAAAGATTTACCAGGATGTTGCCTGGTATGGAGGGCATTTGCTGTGAGGAGAGGTTGGAGAAACTCGGGTTGTTCTCACTGGAACGACGGAGGTTGAGGGGCGACCTGATAGAGGTCTACAAGATTATGAAAGGCATGGACAGTCAGAAGCTTTGTCCCAGGGTGGAAGAGTCAGTTACAAGGGGCCATGCGTTTAAGGTGTGAGGGGCAAGGTTTAAAGGTGATGTACGAGGCAAGTTTTTTACACAGAGGGTGGTGGGTGCCTGGAACTCGCTGCCGGGGGAGGTAGTGGAAGCAGTTTTAGTTTTAGTTGTGATGGGCAGCATGTCGGTGTAGGCTTGGAGGGCCGAAGGGCCTGTTTCTGTGCTGTAATTTTCTTTGTTCTTGTTCTATCTCTGGATTAACAGGCCAGTGATAATACCACTAGGCCATTGCCTCCCCTGTAGGAGTTGGGCTGTCATGTTGTGGCTGTACAGGACATTGGTTAGGCCATTTTTAGAATACTGTGTACAGTTCTGGTCTCCCTGCTACAGGAAAGATGTTGTGAAACTTGAAAGGCTTCAGAAAAGATTTACAAGGATGTTGCCAGTGTTGGAGGGTTTGAGCTACAGGGAGAGGATGAATAGGCTGGGACTATTTTCCCTGGAGTATTGGAGGCTGAGGGGTGACCTTATCGAGGTTTATAGAATCATGAAGGGCATGGATAGGGTGAATAGACAAGGTTTTTTCCCTAGGATAGGGGAGTCCAAAACTAGAGGGGCATAGGTTTAAGATGAGAGGCGAAAGATTTAAAAGGGACCTAAGGGGCAACTATTTCATGCAGAAGGTGGTGTGTGTATGGATGAGCTGCCAGAGGAAGTGGTGGAGGCTGGTACAATTACAACATTTAAAAGGCATCTGGATGGGTATATGAATAGGAAGGGTTTAGGGGGATATGGGCCAAATGCTGGCAAATGGGACTAGATTAATTTGGGATATCAGGTCAGCACGGATGAGTTGGATGGAAGGGTCTGTTTCCGTGCTGTTACAGCTCTATGACTTTGTGACTGGGAGAATTTCCTATGTGTGTCACCCAGTAAAACTATAAAGATGTTTGTGAGACTATTTCCCATACCACTGAGTTCACTTCAAATCTTAACTCGTTCCACCCATCTCTTTTCCCTGTAATCCTCTAAACTCAGCAAACATTTTTTCAGTCTCAATTCTTTTGTTGAGTCCCTGTCTAATCAGCAGTTTGGGGAAGAGAGCTCCTGATATCACTGCCCTTGTATGAAGTGGTACCTTCTGCTGAGTGGCTGGCTGTAATTTCCTCAGTGTTCCCATTTGGCCTGATCTCCTGCGCCAGGGGAAATGGTTTTTCAAGATTCGGTTGACTCTGAATCTTTGGAGTTGTCCCCCAAAGGTCTCCTTCAGGAAGCAATGACTCAGGGGAGTGGTGTGTAAGAGATGTCGCTGTTCTGTCTACAGGAGCCCTGTTCGCTTCGGTGGCATGTGTGGAGAGTGCGTGCTCACTGGTGTCTACACTTGTCTTCAGCTCCTTATATCCTGCAACACTGCATTTCATGAAAGGATTCACTTTCCTCTTCGGGGCTGCCCTGCTCCTCATTCCGGCTGGAATAATCGGGTGAGTGACTTGCCCACTTCCAGGCTTACCTGGTAATCCGTGTTCACCGGAAATCGGGGTTTACTGGTCACTGGGTTACTGCGGCTCACTGGCTTAACGGGTAATCCTCTGGTTAGGGGGGCCCACCGCGTTAACCATGTTACAATCAGTTTTGTGTCCCTCATGCACAGTCCTCATGATACAGTCAGCATTGACAGTTCCTTTTCCGAGGAGTGGCTAGCACAGGATGCACTGTGTTCATTCAGCTATCAGCATTCTTGTCGAATGATCTGAAATCCGGTGCAGTCCTTTTCAAGAGGAAAACACTGCTACACCACAACAGTGCTGTAATCGCACAGAAAGAGCCAGGGGCTTGGCAAAGTACCACCAAGCACTGAACAGGTCCAATACAGCCATCAGGGCAGCATGACCAGCATCACAGCTTGGGGTATGGAGCCAACATGCAAAGGAGGGTGACTGCATAAACCAGATCACACATTGCAGTCAGTCCGTCAGCCTGAGACCCTGGCAAAAGGAGGTAGAAAGCACATCATGGAGAGAAAGAGGTGATATCACACTGCGAGTGGGGAGAAAGAGGCAGTGATGCCAGATGGATCAATATAAAGCTCCCTCTACACTGTCCCCCCATCAAACACTCCCAGGGCAGGCTCAGCACGGGGTTAGATACAGAGTAAAGCTCCCTCTACACTGTCCCCCATCAAACACTCCCAGGACA